ACGTCGTCGACAGTTTGCGTTCGCTGCGCTTGTTTGTGATGTCGAAATACATGAGCCTTGAGATTGTTGCTCTGAGCAGACCGGTAGTCGCAAAACCTACACGCATAGGGTTTTTCAGCGGTGTGGATCCTCGTGTGTCGTCTGAAATTGCCGACGTCGTTAGTACTGTACGGGCAACAGGCACACTGATGACGTTTGCCCCGCAACACAGAGGTTCTTCTACCAATGGTCTTATTTTCGTGTTGAAGAGATTCTTCGTACAACGAATCATAGTTAATGATGGAAGCAGCTGAGCTGGCTGAGAGTTGAGCGCTAGATGGCAGCAGTTCCGGCCGATGGTCCATTAGGTCAGGCCAATTGCAGCTATCTCTAAGATCGTCAGTCCATACCGCTCCCTAAAAAAAGCCGATATCAACTATTAATCCAGTCGCAAGCACAAAACACAGCTTTTATGCGAGTCACCCAACATCACCTTGGTCAAGACTTAAGACACAAACTGAAGCAGATCCCAAGCGAGAACAACGGAGTAATCCAGTGAAAAAAATTTCCACGAAATAATTCGACTAGATGCTCAAGCCTACATAAAACGCTCTAATAACCAATGATAATCACAGAATAAAATCTCACCAAATCTTTGCCTTCGTAAAGAGGGAGAGAGAAACCTCTGAAGAAATGAAGTCAATTTAGTTACAAGTTCATCACCGACAGAAAGTACTTCACGGAATAATTTCCTCTGGAAGGCAACATAAATTCATAAAACAATACTCATTGTATAACAAGGGTTAAACAAACAGGTAGGTAAACCAACTACCTACTCAAAATTTTGGGGTAGTCTATCGTTAGCGCTTTTGCAGCTCCGGCATTATTAATTTTACTTCATACTTATTGCGAGACGCTAACTTCAAAGTACGCTTCGGAAACCTAAAACAAGTTGAGAGAAGTCGTCACGGGGACCAAATCTGAGCCCAGTGAAGAGAGATCAGCCACTAAAGTCTCCGGATGAACCCTCTTGACATGCGTGTTGACGTTACTGCTCTGCGTTGAGCGATATTCGCAGTATCTACACTTGAATGGCTTTTCGCCCGTGTGAATACGTGTGTGTTTCACGAGATCTTTCTTCTGCAACGACGAGTGTCCGCACAGCGAGCACTGGTAGCGCTTGTAGCTGTTAGCTTGGTCCACGTGAACTGTAGACTCCAAAATTGCAGGCGGAGCGCGACTGGAACTTGCGGATGAAACGTGCACAGACGATCTGCCGGATTTGCTAGCAGATAGATTCGTAGCGTCACAGTCACGATAAAGTGCAAGTCTGTACTCAGACAACTGGTCGCTTGCACTTGCCTTTGACCTTTGAAATTGAGTCGCCCTTTGAGACGCGAATATTTCACTTAACAAAAAACTTCTGTGTTTTTGTGTAATTGGACGCGTAGGAGAGTGTAACGTTTGTTTTGAGAAGGAAGAAGCAGAAGAATTCTTTATCTGGATCATCGACGTTGGAGGAGCAGAAGCTAATGCTTCATCCCTGATGGGAACTTGACAATCCTCTTCATCCACCACACCTCGTTCTTCGTCTTCCCCATCAACTTCGCAGCCCTACAAGAAAAGAAACGTCTTCTTCAGCTGCAACTTGCAATGTCACTCAAGCAGTGAAAGAAGAGTGTCTTGGTAACTCTGATCACAACGATGCTTGACAGGGCAATACATGAATGAGGCAAGCGCTGAACTCCAGACGGCTAACTCAACGTTTCGGTCCGTCCTCCGTTCCAACAACAGTCCATAGCTACAACTAAGATTTGAAGTAATTCAGATGCAATCAAGAACATCTATACCCGCAAAGCACGGCGCGGCAGAAACGGTTCGCAACACGTCCAAATAAAAAGATATTGAAATAACATTTAATTGGAGACAATACCTTACATTTTAACCGAACACAAAACCTAAATAATAATAAAAAAATGCCTCGGAAGTAACGATATGCACATACAGACAACACAACTTTGCTTATATATGCTTAAAATACAAATAAAAATCGAACAAAAAAATTCCTTTCGACACAAATATACCATTGACATAGGTATCTATAAGAAATAAGTCAGTTGAAGTCTGATTCATTTATTGCATGAATTTACATAGTTCGTCGTAATATAAAGGTTGCAGGTAACAAATTGCATTGAAGATTATCTATATATAAATAACATCCACACGTCAAAAACCAAGCACGAACACGGTTAATAAATATATCGACACCTGTTAATACAACGTTCCTGGGATAAATCTTTTGTACACATGATTAACTTTTATAAGCTCGCCTGTGTAATTTTTTTTGTTCAGCATTTTTCACATTGTACGCGGTAAAGCCTCACTTCTATCCCGTTTCAAAGGATGCAGTTTCAGTCCATGCTACATCACCACAATTTCTATAGCCACCATCAATAGAAATCGTCAGCGCAGGTTAGCAGTCATATATGGCCACGAGTTCAGAGCTAAATATTACGAGGATATTCACGAGTAAGTTGCTCATTGAAGACCATGTCGATATGATCACAACAGCACGTAAGAATGAAGGTAATCATGTCAACAACAGCCATGAGAGTCAAGAGTAGTGGGGAGTCAACGGTGACACACAATCATGTAAGAAATAAACAAACCTGCTTCTGCATCTCCACCTCGACAGCGCTTTAGGCTCAAGTTGATCTTCACATCTTGTATTCGCAACTCAAGCATAACGACTCAAATATAATAAAAGGTGCAAATCATAATAGAATAACTCAAAGTTCAACTTCAACTCAAAGTGTGATAAACGGTGCAGAAGCTTATTCACATATCATTTGACTCGACTTCTTTTGATTGTCGAGCGGCTCATTGAACATGCAAGGGTTTTACTTCTTGCTCAAAATATAGCAACCCCCCTCACATAAATCATATCAAAACAATGTAAATGAAATAATAACGAAAATGGAATAAAATAATGTTAGGAGGAATGAACTAAAGCTCAAATAAAAATACATAGTGAGAGAAATTAGGGCTACTCCCACGCTAATTTTCCGACCAGCTCTTCCATGAAATTAAAAAATATAGTGAACAGAGACATTTGATTTCAAAAAATGACACTTCAACTATAAAACTTGGATATACATACAAAACCGATTAATGACAAAAATTGTACTTTCTGGTATTGAGCAACTGAATATTTGAATAATTCTGAGCACCTGTGCTCAGCTAAAGAGAAGTTCAAAGCATTCCTCGCAGCTGCCATTAAAGATCACGCAATACAAGGGAAGAGCTGCTCGAACAGAGCAATATTCGGCAATGCCTAAGTCAAGGCGTCACTTGAGCAGTAACAAGTGACGGTACAACAACGAACGCTTCCTCAGAGCTAATAATCTACCTGAAATGACCACAATATACTATCAATATTGTATAGCTTTTGCAGACATGTGTCCGGGGATATTTGTGACATTTATTTGAATAAGCTAATTCTATCTTGAGTAAAAATGTTGTCAATACACACGAGTATATAAGTTCCAGTTAATATCTAAAGTGCGGAGATCATTTTATCACAAAAAATAGGTAATCATAAGCTGAAAGTACTTAAATAACAGATTCTGTTTGCATAGCTTCAGGATAGAATATTCTGAGGAAGCGTCCACAACTCACGATAAAAAATACCGTTATTATAAACTAAATTGTATATTAATTATAACAATAATAGAACTTCATGGTGCGATGAAGAGGCTTCATTTCGATATAATGGTATGAGATTGAACTGGATGGAAGTTCAGGAATAGACAAGCAGGAAATGTGAACATTGAGGTAGAAACCTCGAACTAGAATGTTGTGAAGTTGTTCAAAGCATCACACAGAGAGAAGAGGTCAGATCGACAGTTCAATATAATGTTCAGAGGAAACTAGCAGTGTCAACAGGTCGCTTACTTGTGGAAATTTACAGTAACTGTTGAATTTTTCGCACAGTGATTATATTTTTGTAAAGAATCAGAAAACTTGAAAGTTGTGCTGTGACGTATGAGGAACTTGGGAGAAGATCTTTGTGGGATTATAAAGAAATTATACAAGGGATTCCTCTTATATAATTTTCCCCTCACTTGCTTCGAGAGGAAGTTCGCACTCGCGATCGACTAATGAAAAACAACAAAATAAAGCAACCATAGGATTGTCGTCAGGAGTGCCAAAGTGTTCTGATGTATGCATTTAGATCCTTTCAACATTCTATACATAACGTTGCCAACACTCAGGATACATCATTTAACGTAACCAAGTAGAAAAGTCAAATCTCGATCCCCGCGAGAAAATTTCTCATCCTATACATTGCCTACAAACAAATTTTTGTGATGAAGAATGAAACAGAGTCAATTGAGATAAGAGGCGAGAGTTTCCAGTAGAGAAGGATAATGAGGGAAGGCGGGGAAAATAGCCTCTACATCGCACGCATGACCAGGCTTCACGAGCGACCAGAGCCAGAACCACGGAGTTCACTTTGGGATCACAGAGCAAGTTTTATTAGCATGGCATTATTGAAGAGAACCATGCTATTTTATGACCAAAGATATATTTTTAAGAGGTGGAGGCATTTTTCCTCAAACCACGCACAGATTTCTTTACTATTTTTGCAAAATTTATAATAACATTTCCAATCACTACAGAAAATTTATTCTCAAGTTACTTTATAGATCCGGATACTTCAAATATGAGAACGAAATGCATTGAAAGGTATCCTTGAGTAATGAAGCAATGATCTACAAAGATAGAAAGTTTCAGCATCGAAAATTCGTCTGCTGGACAACTTGATGAGAAATTTCAATTAACTTTATTATATGGGAATTCTAATAGTCTCAATTTTGCAATCAATACTTTAATATTTGGAACACGAGATAACGAGAAGAAGTTAATGTTTATTAATTGCGTTCTGGGGGAGGCTCGCTGTGCGGCTAATGGTCTGGTCGCGCGTAGAGCCTGAGAATGGCTGGCATAATTCAACTCACCATGTGCTGTTGCTGTTGGTTGGTCGCGGCGCTTGAGGAAGAGGAACCTTCCCCTCCCTCGCCATAATCTCCCATCTGCAACACAACAACACGTCATTTATGTAGTTCCCTTTCACATCCATATTGCCAACAAGATTCATTCGTTTGACCAAGACAATCATTGCATGAACAATTATAGAAGCAAATGAAGATTAGTAAGATATTTTAGTTGTGCAAGTTATGTAACTCGGACATAATTTCAACGTTGTGAAAGTTACCAAAAACTATAAAAAAAGTTCTAATACTTCAAATTCCATCACTATAGTCTGATATTCATAAATCTATTCTCGCCATTATATCATATAATCATATCAACCTTAATAATTTACATTACAAAATAAATCAACATTCTCACAGCTATCTGATCATATGATGCAAATAAGAGGTATTCATAAAACGTATAATTTTTATTATAATGACCATAGGTAATTTATACTAAGTAAGTAAAGAGAGAAGAGCCTCACCCCATGCTGATCAGAAGCCGAGTTTTGTCCAAGCAGTTCGTCCATAAAGTGTTGCTGGCCGTCAGCTTCCCCGAAGCTGTCTTCCACGAGCATGTCTTTGGTGTCAGAGGCCGAGTTCGAGTCAGAGAGATAAACAGCGTCCAGGTCCAGGGGCTCCTGCTTCACGGCGTCGCCAGGATCTTCGGGAGGCTGTCAGAAATAACACAGTCACGTTACATCACAACTTGATGAAGAAGGTTACATCACAATTTAATGAAGGAAATAATCAACTATGGAGATCAAGGAAGGTTTAAAAGACTGCAGTAAGTCTAAAAACTGCAAACTTAAAATAATTATGAGAATGGATATTGGAGTAGATCCAAGACTTACTATAGTTTTTACAGTGTAAGTTTAACTTGTTTAACTTTACAGTGGCGGAGGTGAAAGTTTAACTTGTGGTGCTGAGCAACACTAATCTCATGGACAGCACAAAATAAGGGTAACACAAAGCACAAATGATAAGACTTTCTAAGGACTCACCACTTCAGAAGGAAGATCTTCATGAGCGTCTGGAAGTTCTTCAGCCTTAAGTTCGATGTCATTATCTTGCTGCGCATGATGCAGCTCATTGGGCTCGGAAGCATCCCTGCTTGTTGTACGATGATCAGACACGCTATCTCTATTCTCTCTAGAAGAATTTACAGAACTGCTACTAGACGATGCATTATTTCTATTAAATTTGTTACTAGATGACTGGTCCGCCCTTCTCCGACTCGTCTCTTCCCTACTGCTAGTTTGTCTTTGAGATGAAGAACCGTCATCTTGTCTCCTCCTCTTTGCTTCACTACTTAGGCTATTATCACTGGTTCTCTTCTCCCTAGAACCTCCACTTGACTTGGTTGTTGCTGGCTCTTCATCAGGCACGGCCAGGCCTTTAATTCTCAAGCACTCAGCAGCCTTGATGAGGCCAGAGAGCTTCTCCTGTACGACGTTCACTTCACCAACGTACATGTAGCTGAGCAGGGACTCTAGCTCCTCGCTCCTGATATCCTTCAGGACAATCACTGGATGTTTGCACTGAGTTTGTTCAAACATCTGCTCGAAGTATTCGCTGCACGTTGACAGCACCAGCTTGTGCACAGGGTAGAATTTCCCGTCACAGGCAAGCGTCACGTCTGTGTAACATTCCTGCCAAAAAAATCCGATGTTAATGTTGGACATCACATAGAAAGCCCATAAAGCTACGTAATCTTTGAAGGACTTTTTTCCAATAAATAGTGTTGGTTTAACAACATGAATATCAATTAAAAACATGTAGTCTGCAACTATGACGTGAGCAAAATGGATTGCTGCATTGCAGCACAATTAATTAATTATTCTTAACTTCACAGAATGGAATTAAATAAACAAACAAGTTAAGAGCATATGCCAAATTTCAGGTCAAATGCTCAATCTACAGTACTACAGTAGTAAATTAAATAATTGAAAGGCAGGTAAACAAGTTTGATCTTTAATCCCTAATGGTTCAATTATCATCTAATTATTATATACAACTATTAATATTGATTAGCATTATATATATAGTTATATTACTGAAATACATAGAACAAACAACGAAATTCAACATATATATATAATAAAATGAATCTTGAACCAACAAAAAAACTTGTCTGAAAAGAAACAACAGAATCCAAAACTTGTTATCAAATAGTTTTATAACAATATGTTGATTAAGAACATAATTCATTAAAATTTGGCAGCAAAACAAAGCCCCCCCAAACATTCTGGGCAAGATTAGCAAATGCAAACAAGATCAGAACTACTCACTTTTTTCCTAACATTAGAGAGAACATAGAAGAAAGTGGAACGGTGGTTGTTCCACTTCAGCGAGAGTAATCCTCCATCCATTTTTATGTCTTTTCAGCACCTGCAACAATAAGGCAAATAGGAATTAATCTATGAATGCACCAATTGTATATAGCTTTATTGATGTTACTAGGTCCTAACTTGTACTATAGTTGTCAATACACATACATAGATGTTAATTAAAACATGACCACCAAGGAATAAAACCTTCAGGTGTAATACAATATTGTGATGCAGCTTTCTCCTTGCGTTGCATACATGCGCTATTGGAAAAACTGTCATTTCTACTGCAGTCTATCAGCTCTGAGGTAACATTTGAATGTTTCAACTTTACTTTGGATTTCATTTTTACGGCTCAATCCAGATATTTCATCAACAATTGAACTGAATAAAATTCATCTAGCATCACAGAAGAAATAACGCTCAACATCCTAATTAGCAAACCTTAGATTTCGGCAAATGTGAAGTAGGCAAACAACTGCAGAATTATGAGTTGCCACACATCTTTGTTGTTCAAAAAATTTTATTATGAATGAATATCTTTACATGAAATTTTCTTTTTTTTTATTCAACCAAAAATAATGTTATTCATACATAGAAATTCTACTGACCAGAAATAATAAACATTTTTACATCCCTATTAAAAAATAATCTTGTGCACTTGGTGGACTTCTTTTTTCAATAGATGTTACTTACACAAATACAGAAATTTATGTAAGTATTTGACAACAATTAAATTGACTGTCTTGAATGAAATATGCACACAGAAATACATTTGATATCCAATTCTATAATGCACGGTCCTAGACTAAAACCAACCAACAGCAATAGTGGTTAGGAAAAAAAACACCCACTAAAAATTATCTATCTATTACTAGGTCCTCCAACTTGTTCTAAAGTCATTATAAACTTATTTTGATGCAATGAAATGTGAAAAAAGTGACCACCAGATATTTGCTTCACATCAAAGTACATTTTGCATTTTTAGCACTTTTGTATAAATTCTTGGGATGCTTTTTTGGACATTCTTGTCATGTCATTGCTAGAGAATTAACCTGCAGAGATTTTTTAAAGTCTTATGTTAGCCCAATCTAAACTGAACTTTAACATCTATTTCAACTTTGCTGTTAATTTAATTTGCATACTGCATGTATTTTCTGTAAGTGAAATATACAAAGAAGTGAAAGAACCCACATTGTTTTAAGAAAAATACTTTAAAAAAATATGAGAACTGCCAAGCCCATTGACTTTTGTTTGTTTTCGTCAGGTTGCAAGTTGATATTTGAAAAAAAAAAAAACTACTAAAGTTTTTGGGCCTCCTAAAGTAGGCTCATTCGAGCCTAATAAAGTAGGCTTGAATCTTGACAAGCTTGGCAAAAGAAGGCTGTAATTAAGAATGAAGATTAAACCCTCAAGGTATATATTACTTTTAAAGACAAAATTCACTCAGAAAAATCTTCACAAGTGGGTTTTTCAAGTACATGTGGTTTTTCTAATTTCAAATAATTTAGCTTCCCAACTAATAACTAGTATTGTTTAAAGCATGGCAATTTTTGAGAACATGCACTAGGCCTTGTTGAAAAAATGATGGCCTGATATCCTTCATACTTCATGAGGTATAAATTTCACAGCACTTAAGTGCAATAATTCATAAGATATAGAGAGTGTTTTCTTTTAATAACAGTGACTAGATTCCTTCAATTTTTTCAGAAAAAAATATTGCATCATGGAATGCAATTCATTTCCATTTAATGATACAGATACAGAGCAAAATGTTACCATGTATGAATAGCATTCAATTTACTTCTTTCTAAATTATACATAAATTCATGCTATAATAGGATTGCTTTTTTTACCAGTCATGTGAGATTTTTTCTAAAGCACTGTTCATCTGAAGAATATCAAGTTCAGCATGCAAAATAAATGATACTTTATAAAGTGGTTTTCAGGTGGCAAATATATTCATACTATTTCTTAATCAATACCACTTTTGAAGTGTGGCAGATGAACCGAGTCAGGTCCTCTCTTTTTTTAGTGTAGGAAATATTTACTTTTTGAGCCATAATTCAATTCTTGAAGCTGCCAGTTCATGAATTTTGCAGTCAGCCAGTCACATTAAAATTTTCAAGCAGCAAGTTCATTTTCCAAAGCCCCAGTTCTCATTTCAAGCCATGAAAAGCAGGCTTTGAAGCACCAACTCATTAACCAAGAGGCACATTTTATATCAAATTTTTTCTTAATCAAAATTAGCTATTAAAATATTTTCTCGATTTCAGAGATAACTTAGAATATGATAAATACTTCTCTTGTCTACCTGAGAAACATAAAAGTTTCAGAGCTGACTTGAAATGACAGCAACTGCATAAATGTCAACAAAAAATTTTTAGCCATTAGGTGCCCAAAAGTTGGAAGGAGTGTATAAAGTAATAATTCAGTTTTTTTGTAGGTTGTAGCATATTTGTAAGCCATAATATTACAGGAAAAAGTGGCAGTTTTGAATCTTGTACAAACAAGATATAAATAAGTACATCTCATCAGTCTCATGAGTTATGTCTCTTAGAATTTTCCTTAAATTGGGGATAAAAACTATAATTTTATGAGCAGTTTTCTGTAAGTAGCAGGGCAAAATTTGCCATTTTCACTCATTTTTAATTATAAAATTACAGCAAGTCTGAAAATTGTAAGTTTACGGCCAGCACAAGGCAGTTTTGTTGTATTCACAGGTGGCTTCCTCTCAATTTCCAGAATACTTTTTGCTATTTTCAGATTTAAAATAAAGATATCCAAAGAAACCAGTAAAAAATTTTAATATTGTTTTCACTTTTCAGTGGCCTAAAAATGAGATTTATAGCACAAAAACCAAACTTATGACTGGAAATTTTAGGATTCAAGGCTAAAAAAAAAATCAGCAATTGGAGAGTGGATCTTTTTCCCTCTTAATGGTTTGAATTTGAATTTCAGCATACTGCATGGGACATTGAATTTATGGCAGCAAAGGAGAAATGTTTTTGTTGTCCTTCAAGTTTTTCTTGAGACCTATTAGTAAACTAGTGATCATCTTTTCATACATAAGATGATAAGAAATTGATTAAATGTTAAGAACATGAGGAAATTGAACATGAACCGATTCTAAAAAATCTCTGGTTTGCCAAATTGCCACTATGCTGAGACAAGCATGGGAAACATCTTCATTTAAGGCTGCAACTAGAGCTTTCCTGCCACTTCCATAACTGCGAGATTCCCGCCAGATGAATTACCTCCTATCTAATTGTTAAAAAAAAGTGCATGATCAGGCCTCACGTTTCCAAATGTATTAAAAATTTGTCATGCCAGAGCCGCAAGATTTCAGGAACAAGTAGAAAATTCAGTTCGACTCGCGTAGTCAATATACTCGCGTATATTGTCGACTAAAATAGTAGAAATATTTTAGCTTTCTAAAGTACGGCGCACGGCACATTTTTTTACCAGCATAGTACAGCGCACCACGCAGGTCGTTAAAATGACAAAATAAATTCCCGCGCACCTGGCACATCTTCCTGGCCATGGCCTTCAAGTTCATTTTTGAGTCCTAAAAGAAAAAGTGAGAGAGTAGGTAGCCTATCTTGGATAGGCTACCAGCATTATCATACGTAAGAAATTGATTAAAATGATGAGTTTAGGGGTAAAATTAATCAAGAACTTATGAAATGATTCTAAAAAATCTTTGGTTTGCCACAAGGAGAGTATGCATGATTATGATGATAGCATGATTGATTTGAACTTCCAAGTCTTTTTTAAGCCTTAATTTTATTTACATCAAGTCAAGATGCCTGAATTGATGTTGGCTAAATTGACCAATTTTCTTAGAATTCTAGCAACTCGGGTGTGACCATAATTCTAGGTACCTAGGCAATCAAAATACTTCTCAGATATGACCAAGCAACCAGTCCAGCAAATACTGTCAAAAAATTGTAATCCTGGATCACAATAGGCCTAGGTAAGGTTGAGAAAGACTAGATTAACGAATTAAAAGCTGTGAAATTGTGGATTAAATGCAACTGATAGGACAAAAGTCAAACCCCAGTAAGTTCAAGGCTAAGGTTTAGGATCTACCGATCTACGGATCTAGTAAGCTGACTATCACTATCAGCAGTTGCCAGTTGGTCAAAAATGGCAAATTAAATATAGCTACCTAGGTAACGGCGTAACGCCAATCTTTGTTTGCACTTTCATTTGCATCACAGTTCACAGCTAAGAACGAGAGCGCTGGTTGGAAGTTTGTTACCCACTTTATAGCGTAGTAAGTCTTTAAATAATAAAAGCAATGACACAGCCAAACTATTTATTCATCTTCAACTTGAAAGTTGAAACAACGTTCTATCTTAGTCGACATTCGACAACGACGCTCATAAGAGACGCTTCATAAGTTCATACCGATCGCACCCAATGCACAAGATGGCGGCTTCTCCTCTCTTAAGAATTAGCAGCAGTGATGTTCAGACGACAGACAGTATTTTACTCAGCACAATAAAAAATTTTGCACCAGCGCAGCATCAAAATATTTTGAACAATATTAAATTAAAAAATAAGACCAATTAAGCTCAAATACGTAAGAAGATAACGAATTTCTTACCGTTTTTCGTGCGCACTGTTTCGTCGAAACATGGTAACTTGCAGAAGCCGACTGACGATTGACAAGAGAAATTCTTGGAACGTATGAAAGTTGCAAGACATTTAACAGTAAGCCTATCACTAAACTCAAAATTTTACATGGAATACTGTGTGATTTGATCAACATTTATAGGTATTATTATTTTCATGACTTTTTATTGCATTTTTTCTCATATTTGTAATAATATTGAGGTTTTATATTTAGATTTTTATATAGATGACATTCATATAGATGACTGGAAAAGCAACATAGGGCCCACAAAAATATTTAGCATGAGCGAATTTGAATCTTCTTTAGGCACTTACAAACATGAATAAAGAAGATTGATCTTTTATCCATAAATTTAATATAAGTTAAACAGATTTTTAGAAGACATTTAGCGCGCGTCTCGACGCCCACTAAAGTAGCGCAAACGTTTGGCGGGAAAATTGTTAACCAGCCTGTCAGATCAAACATAAAAAATCGAAGACTAAAAAATTAGACTATGCAAGCACATGTATAACAATACATAAAATTTAATTAATTGTTATTTCAGATATGTATCGGTGACTTAAGAAATTTAAAAATTTTTAAACAAAAAATAAACCTGCTTAATTGCGGAGCATAAACGTTTTACCAACTTTACTTTAGAATTCGATGTTGCTCACACTTTAATTTAGTTGTATGAACTAACTTAAGTACTTGTAGCATAGGTGAACAAAGCACCCTGCTGAAATGCCTTTTAAATTATCTTCTAAAACTCTTCTGTAAAACGTTAGTGCGTTCATTAAAAAATGTGGACTCGAATGAGTTGTTCTCAGTGAAACTATGAGTGAAATCTTGTCAGTCATCGCCATTCACCTCAAAAACGTTAGTGAGATCCGTGACGTTTGATATATAATGATGCATAGATGTAAGCCCTGATTCGATTTCGATTTTTTAGTTATAAATCTCATTTCTAGATAAAAAGTCATTCATACACTTTAATTTAGTTGTATGAACTAACGTACTTCGGTACTTGTAGCATAGATGAACAAAGCACCCTGCTGAAATGCCTTTTAAATTATCTTCTAAAACTCTTCTGTAAAACGTTAGTGCGTTCATTAAAAAATGTGGACTCGAATGAGTTGTTCTCAGTGAAACTATGAGTGAAATCTTGTCAGTCATCGCCATTCACCTCAAAAACGTTAGTGAGATCCGTGACGTTTGATATATAATGATGCATAGATGTAAGCCCTCATTCGATTTCGAATTTTTAGTTATAAATCTCATTTCTAGATAAAAAGTCATTCAAGGGATCATAAATAACTTCTATAAACGAACGTCACGCGATTTTTTTGTTCTTGTGGTGTAACGGCGTTCAATGACTGACACATTCACTGCCAACTTGTATGTAAATAAAAGTTGTGAGAGATAACTGCATGTTAGCAGTAACAATTTTGTCTTATTTCGAGAATGACCTCGTCGTGAATACTTCGCGCTGAATAACATAGATATAATAAAAATTTATTGTACAGTCAGTCCCACTAATGGCTGTCGCAGGTTCAATACCGACGCCACATATGCACTTGCGTTAGAACTACTTATTACCAATTTTCGATCTTGTATTTGATGAAAAAAACTACTGAGGCAATATGTAATTTAATCTTGATCACATGTATTAATCTTGATCACATGCTCACTGCCATTCTTGCTGCTCTTCTTTCATTGACTGCTGATGTAAATGACTGCAATGACTGCTTATTGGACGGCGGCTGTACATTGAATTGGAATTAGGGTGCGCGGTGACCTCTGGTCAGAACTTTTATTTGGCCTGCCGTGCGGTCCATATTCATTTATTAAATTATTCCACAAATTTGCACGTACCCATACGGCTACTACATGAATTTACCGAGTTGATGAAAAAATATTAATCTATAAACATCGACATGAGTGCTAAAAAGGATAGAACCGTTGACCCTACAGGCTACACTTCTGATACTTGTCTCCTCTATCTGCCTCCAAAATTTATTTTTAGGCTCTCAATTACAGCTACTGCTGCTAACTCAGAGGAATCAGCAGTCATTGCAGTCTACTTATTCTCTCCAACAACACGTAATTACTGTTACTCAGGGTGGCTCAGTGGATAAAGTTCAGTGGACCAAAATTGGATCAGAGAGGTGCGGATTCGATCCCAGCTCTGTGCGCCAGTTTCTGGTCAGAATCGGCAAGGAGGCAATTTGAAGCAGTGAGTTGCGAGTTCAAGCCCGCAACATGCTGTGGATGTTCTGCAATGTCAAGAATCGGCGACAGGCCTACGGCCTAATAAACGCTGAAACCGCTATATATTACTCACTTCACTCATAATCAATTCCATCACCCCCGTCGCTATCCTGAAAACGCCTCCATGCACCAGCAGGTGCACCACAGTTTCCTTCTCACCTCATCACACTTGTCCGTTGCATCCATTCACACCCAGCGCCATTGCTCTCATGCACCATGATGCATACATACTTTGGCATCGCTTTATTTTATTTTAGTTTAAAAGCATCCTTTTTTAAATTCCGTGTTTAGGCACTTTTAAACCATACTATTTAATCCTTTGTTTATTACCTTTTTCTGTTGTTTTTTTTCCTTCATGTACCAATGTACCTCATCCATTCTTGCCAGTCCCCCTTTAAATTTTTCATCAAAAAGTTCTCATTTCTCTCTCTCTAAATAAGGCACTCCATCCCGTGCTCCCTCTCAATGCCGCACCGCAGGCCACCTGGGGCACCTCTGGTGCAAAAATCCTGAAAAATGTCACTACTATATTTTTGAACCACTTCCAGTCTGTGAAGCTTACCAACACTGTATGCTATCACTTCTAATCTGTAAATTTGCCTAGTCGGCAAACCACGCGTGTCGAATGATTCTACCCTAAGAAGATTCTCGATACGAGGTTCTTCATATAGGTAAGCATGTTTTTAAAGTTTTGAAGCTACATGGAGTATAGCTTTTCATACTTATATTAAAATATAAAACATAATTGGGCCACTGACTTACAGAAAGTAGAGCTGCTGGACACATAATATTTGCTTCTGCTACTTGGCTTTGTGACGCAGGAAGTTTGAGATCATTGAAATTTATTCAATAGAAATATTTTTCCAAAAAAATATTGAAAGCTTCAAAAAATGTGTAAAAAGTTCCCAACAAAGTTTGATCGGTAAAATTGCCCCAGAATATCATTAAAGAACATAACATTAGCTTTACATTACACATACAAGAGATACGTTGTTGTGGTTTGTAAATTCAAATAGTAATTTTTGGGACCATTACTTTAGCGCCAGCTCTCTCAGCATCACAGCTCCATATATCACTTGATTAGTTTCAAAACCTATAACCTTCCCATGAGGTGACGTAATGGAAAATGAGGTAATGATCACCTCGTCTTGCTGACAATTATTAGTATGTAATTTACGATACTTCTACCGCGCTTCGCAAATTTCAACTAAAGCCTTCTGGCAACATCGTTTAAGACACAGCCACCAGCAAGCTTATTCTGCATCTGCCGCGCTACGGGGCGCAGGGCGGATGCCAGCTTTGCCAAATTTCACACTTGGTTCATATTTCTTTCCGTAGGTAAGAACGCTAGAGGGCATAACAGCCTATGAAGTCAAGTGCTCTAAGCCAGTGGTTCCCAAACTTTTTCAGGCTGTCGCCCCCTTTGGCTCCCTAGTGAATTTCTAGCGCCCCCCACAAACATACGCCTCTTTCTTGAAATTTAGTTCGCTGCAATTTTAAAAGATAAAGGTTAAACACAAATGTGTATTTCACAAATATAGCCCCATTTAGTGAACCAATATGTTTTTCAGCTGTTTTAACTGCTTCAGCACTAGAAACCTAGGACGTCGGGGGCGAATTTATGGCTGGACTCGTGACCGGTCTCACGACCAATCTCCAAATTCAATTATCAAGTAATACCTATCTCCCAAACCAATGAACGCAGCTCTATGAAACTTGAAACACGTATTCATCAGAACCTAATGGTGATGTCTAGCTAGTAATTTTTTTAAATTTTACCTTCATTCTTGAGTTACGCGTATATTGCGAAACAGGCCGAAATTCGCAGTGATTAAAGAATTTATTCCAAACTATTGAACTGATTTGAACGAAATTTTGAATATACATTCTTAACTACCAAACGGTGATTTTTTAGCTTATAATTTTTTTCGATTTTACCTTCGTTTGCGAGTTTTTTTTTCATTTCACCGTCATTATTGATTTCACACTTCCTTATATTCGGCCCGTATCGCCGGGTAATTTGTCACTTAAATTCGCGGCGATCAAGAAATTTCTTCTAAACTACAGAACAGATTTCAACGAAACTTTGTATATAATACCTATAACCTCTCAACGGTGATGTTTAAATCGTAAGAATTTTTCTATTTTGCTTTCGTTCGCGAGTTATACAGATATAGGAGGTACGACCGGCTATTCTACCGGCCGGTTTAACCAAAAGCCTTATAAGTGTAGCCGTATAACTCGCAAACGAAGGCAAAACGAAAAAATTGTAAACATCACCGTTGCTGAGGTTAGGTATTTAAATACTAAGTTTCGTTCGAATCTTTTCAGTAGTTTGGAAAAAATTTATTGATTACTGCGAATTTAAGCTCGTATTGCTGTTTAAATCACGAATGAAGGTGAGATGGAAAAAAACTCGCGAACGGAGGCACAATCGAAAAAATTTTCATGAGTTAAACATTACCGTTCGGTAGTTAGGACTGTAAATTCAAAATTTCCTTCGATTCTGTTCAGTAGTTTGGAAGAAATTACTTGATCACTGTGAATTTCGGCCCGTATTGACATATAACTGTGGCAAAAACAAGCGATGGCAAAATTCAAACAATTTTCACGAGCAAAACATTATTGTTAGGTCCTAATTAATACGTCTACCAATTAAGTTTCATCGAGTTAAGTTCCTTAGTTTGAGATATATTCCTTGATCATTGAATTTGGAAATTGGCCGTGAGACCGGCCTCGAGTCCGGCCGTTAATTTGTCCGAGACGTAAACCCAGGAGAGGTTAAAAAAACAGATCTGGATGAAAAAACAATCGCTGGGAGTCATGTGCTGCAAGTTTTGTGTACAGAGATCGTCAAACAAACGTTAGAACTTCTGACACTGACTTCGGACTACCGCCCCCCATATCGCCCCCCTACCACCCTCTTCTTCCTTACCGCCCCCCAAAATCTTTCCATCGCCCCTAGGGGGGCGATATCGCCCACTATGGGAACCACTGCTCTAAGCCATAGCGCCGGATGTCCACAGCCGCAACTTAGGGCTGATTTGCGGCAATTATTTTTCAATAAGTACATGAATTCATTATATAAAATTTAATTTTGATAAATAGTGTCAGGAAATTCAGCATCATTTTTAATAAAAAAGACAGATTTCTTTCTCTTTTTTATTTGGTTTTGAAATATATTTAACGCGAAACATAATTATAATATAATTATAAAATAATACTAATTTAAGGTCTTCACTCCTCTAAATTATATAGAAATTACAGATTACAACAACATGCGCTGATGTGCAGTACTGGGGCCGTATTATCAAAACTTCTTAAGTACGCAAAATCGACTTACGAGTGGCGTAAGGCCCCTTTCACACAGGGCAGTAAATACTGCCAGCGTCCGACAGTATTTACTGCCGAACCTTAGCGGACATACGAAATGTGCACTGCTGTTCACACACGACTGCTTTTACTGCGGCGTAGAATTTGACGCCTGACGCCAGCGTCTGTCCTGCTAAAACTGCGGCAGTAGATTTGTCGCGCGGTTTAGCTTGCAATGGTTTTCAATGTAATCTTTCACACTGGGCGGTTTTTTGACGCCAGATCCCAGCAGACAGTGGGGCCGTATTTTAGGTGCATAATAAACAGCACTGCTAGACTGATAGATTATAGACTGATATTGTAACATAAATATCGTCAGAAGTGTTATAGACTACATTCTTGAGGTATACGATCAGGATAGTCCATTCGAAAGACGGCAGTGGTGGTCTCCGACAGGCATCCCAAAAGATCCATTGAACATCGCGCTCTGCGGGCCGTGGCTCCATCCTGTTGGAACCAAACATTAATTTCAGCAGATTTAGCAAAAAAAAAAAAAAGACTTTAATCGTTTGCGTGTACCGAGCTGCAGTCACCGTTACTGCACGTTCGTTTTCCTCAAAAAATATATGGGCTGCAAAAATACAGGGATTTTAAAATACGTGTTCTGGCTTAAGGCCGTTGGCCACAAATTTAACTGCGCACCCCAGCTGCATAACTAAAACATGACATAAACGAAATAAAGTTTGAAAAAAATTATCACGAACTAAACAACGCCGGTATGGCCTAATAAGTGAATATGCATAATTTTACAGAACTTCGGCAATTAATATGGAATATATTATTGCCACGTTTTTCTTAGCTTCGTTTCGTGTCTGTCTGTCTGTCTGTCATAAAAAATTCAACTCAATCGACAATTCTACGGACCCGCCTGCGAACTCGATCGCCAGCGGACTCGCGCAACTGGGACACTCATAATTCCTTCAATACTCAACGGATCTGTATGAATTTTGGAATGTGAGTATTAATTATCGATACGCTGCCGCAGGAATTATTACAGATTTTTACATGAATTACTTTTTGATTAAAACCAATAAACGTTTTTTTAAGCAACTGGGACACTCATAATTCCTTCAATACCTAACGGATCTGTATGAATTTTGGAATGTGAGTATTAATTATCGATACGCTGCCGCAGGAATTATTACAGATTTTTACATGAATTATTTTTTAATTAAAACCAATAAACGTATTTTTTAAGCAACTGGGACACTCATAATTCCTTCACTACTTAACGGATCTGCATGAATTTTGGAATGTGAGTATTAATTATCGATACACTGCCGCAGGAATTATTACAGATTTTTACATGAATTATTTCCTAACCTAACCCAACCTAGTAATAAGTCATGTAAAAATCTGTCATAATTCCTGCGGCAGCGTATCGATAATTAATACTCACATTCCAAAATTCATACAGATCCGTTAGGTATTGAAGGAATTATGAGTGTCCCAGCTGCTTAAAAAACGTTTATTGGTTTTAATCAAAAAATAATTCATGTAAAAATCTGTAATAATTCCTGCGGCAGCGTATCGATAATTAATACTCACATTCCAAAATTCATACACATCCGTTAAGTATTGAAGGAATTATGAGTGTCCCAGTTGCGGGAGTCCGCAGGCGAGTTCGCAGGCGGGTAAGTAGAATTGTCTATTGAGTAAAAATTCAGACCTTAATTTAGGGCTCTTCTGAACATTCTAGAAACTTGAAATTTGGCATGCATGCTTATGCTGCCTAACAATTCAAGATTTGATCATCAGAAGTAATAATAAAAAAATTAAAATATATAAAAACGTGAAAAAATAAAATTTCACGGTTGGGAAGCGAGTTATTTGTCGAACATCCAGACTTGCCAACCCTAGAAATTGATTTGAATTGCTAAAATTGCTAAACTAAAGACTAGAAAATAAATAAATATAAAAATAAATAAATATAAATAAATAGTGATGGAAATTTGAACCGTTCGAGCAAAGAAGAAATACGCCGTCACGCATGCGCGCAACTAATAAATACGCCGTCGCGCATGCGCACAACTAATAAATATGCCGTCGCGCATGCGCACAACTAATAAATACGCCGTCGCGCATGCGCACAACTAATAAATACGCCGTCGCCCATGCGCAAAACTAATAAATACGCAGCGCGCATGCGCACAACTAATAAATACGCCATCGCGCATGTGCAAAACTAATAAATACGCAGCCGCGCATGCGCACAACTAATAAATACGCCGTCGGGCATGCGCACCACCGATAAATACGCCGTTGCAATGGAGCTGTAACTGCTGTTCTCGCTTCTTTAGCATCTGAAAATCATGCAGAAAAATCAGGATTGGATATTTTACTGGAGATTTTGCTTGAACTTTAAAGATTTTGGAATGAATTTTCCTGAGACGTGGTAAGTGGAATCAAGAGATAATATCTTCTTAACCTTTACTGATGAAATAATCGATGAAGAGAAGTCTAAAGCCAATAAATTCTAATATTATGATACTCAATCTTATACGAGATAAATTTCGCATGCACAACTCTCCAGAAATTCGAATAACATTATCAACATTTTGTTGTTTTTATGAAATCGTCTTCTCGTATTTTCACTTTCACTGTTAATTACTGGGGCAATTTTCGTGTCCCTCAATAATTTCGTATTCGTGCATTGAACTCCGATGCGCGCATGGATTGAAAATCGTTGAAAGTTTCGTGCATTTTAATCACGACTACACGACGAAGAACTCTTGCCGAATTACACCAACATATTCCTTCTTGCTCACGTGGCCTTACCCGGCTATCATTTCACACACTCTTTTGCCCAAATCACATTAAATTAATTAATCTATCGATTAATTGCTCTCAAATCTCCTTACTTATAGACCTCATACATAACAGCTGCCTTGCATACATCTGTAAGACGTGGGAATGCTAGCAGCGCGGTACAGTGCCAAAACGTTTTGTTGTACCAAACGCCCTGCGGTTCGGCTAAGGAGTGTAAGTCAGAGGCCAGACTGCGCTAGCGTCTTATAATTCTATTTTCTATCGTAGAATGAATCACAGTAAAGATTCCCCTCAATTACTGGAACTAGGTCTGGAGACCACAATACGCGCTGAATTACAGATTTGTAAATGACTATGTCTAGTGGAGTTATTTAATGTTGCAATGTCCTAGATCGGTGCTAATAGTATAAATAAATAGCTAATTCTTTAATTTAACAGTATTTCAATCGCAGTTGGTAACTGATTGTGATGCTTAAGGCAAATACATGAATAATAATATTGAGTTAGAGTTGATGGGTAACATTGCTAAATTATAATAGGCTAGCAAAAATCTCGGGAAATGAATTGCGGGGGTAACTTGTGGAAACGTATATACATGGTCGCTACACATCCTTCAGACTCCCTACAACCCGTTTCACTTCCTCCTTTGCAATTTTCTCATCTACGCTAGTACTTAGATATTTACGTTCAAGAGAAACAATATTCTTATCTGGCACAAATAAGTCATCATATAATATCAAAGTGATGTCGGCACCGAAGAATAGGCCTGCTGTGGCCTGTCGTCAATTCTTGTACTTTTCTTGACAAGAGTAATAAAAAGACGAGATGTTTACGAATGTGCTTATCGGAGGTACTTGGCAAATATCAGGAGAATCCCAGAAACCTGCCCATACCTGAGACGACACTTCCTTCAGGTTCCAGTTCGCGGTCGTCTCAGCAGACTGTAGTGGCTAGATAATATTCTAGTGTATAATCTCCAAGCTGAGAGATTTATCAATATCACCCAATAAACTGCCTGAACTCTTCCACTGCCAATTACCCTTCAAGTAGAAAAGCGTTACCAAGTCCTTCGATTGAGCACATAACTCATCATCAATGTCTTGACCACAACTCCTCTGTGGGTTGTGAACACAAGACTGCGACTCAAATCCTCGATACCTATAACTCTGGTACCTACCGCATTACCAACTTCTAGTAACCTTCAGTAACTTACCGCCTCCAGTAACCTGCCGCAAGACTATGCGGGAGTGTAATCGCGGGAATAGTCACGGAGGACATCAAGTAAAAGAGACTAAAAGAGCAAAGGATCGCATCTACCTAGAGGGATAACATCAGCAACTACTACGACAGTCAAATGTAAAACAGATTTACTTGTGTAGGTGTAGCGTTTACTAAACCAAGTGTAAATGTCATAAGAAAAGGAGCGAAAAATTGGCAAGAGAACCACAGGTTTTATGACACGCTGAGAAAGCACCAATCGAACGCGGCTGAATCCGAAGAAAATGAAACCAATTAAACTCTTCATTAAAACTAATTCATTATTACAATTTTGCAAGGTATAAATTAAATAATTATCGAATTTCATTGATGACGGACAGACACGAGGATAATAAATTTGATGACCAATGCCAGAAAGGTTACAGAAACTCCAATGAAAAGTATAATATATTTGACTAGCATAGGCCTACACGCTTAATTAAACGAGTTCTCCACAATTGGATATAAAAACTCGTTCGCAGGTCTTGCCCGATTTGCTGCCACATCTCTGAAGAAAAAATATAAACAAAAGTATTAGAAACTAAGGAACATTTTGTCCCTCACGATAATGTCACTGAAGAAAAAGCACCATACTCTTCGCCATGACAAGAAAAATTATTTGAACATGGATCTGAGATACCATCGTATGAGCGATCTTTTGACAAGAGATTAGAATGTTTTTGAAAATAAATTTTATTAGTGTAAAAAAATTCAATTGAAAATGAAAGGACTAGCTTCATGATTGAATGTGACAAATAATGGCAGATAATTGATCGTAACTACTGTTACTATGCATAGACTCTATCTTTCACACAACAACCACCGGCTGGTGAGAGTGAGCTAGAGATCAAACTGTGAAACAACTGGTGGTAAGAAAAAAAAGGCTCAGATAAAAATCAAGTTGTGCTCAGAATGGGATGAGTGATCTCTTCATACCCGAAGTCTTAAAATCAATTATAGAAGAAAGACTCTATCGCACCTCCATTTTCCTGATGACATCGAGTCCAGACACGCAGGAGCCGAACACGACGTGCTTGCCGTCCAGCCATTCAGTGCGCGCTGTCGTCAAGAAGAACTGGGAGCCGTTGGTGTTGGGGCCAGAGTTGGCCATGGACAACGTGCCAGGGCCTATTGGGTAAGAGGTATAACTGAAAGTTTCGAACATGCGAGCCAATTGAATATGTATTTTTACCTGCAGAAAAATACTTCCGGGTGATATCATTGATCATTATTTAGGGATCTTTATGGTGACTGTAGGATTTAAAAAATTTACGAAAAATAGGAGTACAATTTGTAATGAAAATGAAGTAGAGTTAAAAAGGCAATTGAAGCGCTAGATATGGCGGAACATTCTCACAAATTCCGAAAACAACATTTGCATTTCAAATACAGGAGCTCAATTGCTAATCAATCAGGTTCAGTTTTCATCTCACCGAGTCAAGGATCAACAACACATCCCCGTTATACCCAGCGAAGCGATTGGGTAGCTCACCAGTGTGTCTTAACGTAAAGTTCTCATCCTCAAACTTCCCCCCATAAATGCTCTTGCCGCCAGTGCCGTCATTTTTGGTGAAGTCTCCACCCTGGCACATGAAGCCTGGAATGATTCGGTGGAAGGTGCTGTTTTGGTAACCAAAGCCATTCTCGTGCGTGCACAAGCACCGAAAATTCTGCAGACATTAATCACATAATTTCAATTGAGCACTTTCTTCAATGACTTGAAAATATTATTAAATGTATGCATAAGGTTTTCCACAAACATTAGCTCAACAGCACGATCACAATCCAGATAAGTGATACATGTCTTCAGAGACCATGACTTATGAGATGACAAAAATGACAATTTCCACCAGAAATGTTGAAAACGAACACAAAAATCAGGTTCATAATGTTCCCACGCACCTCAGCAGTGCGTGGACAGATATCAGCTCTTAGAAGGATGACAATCCGTCCCGCCAGCTGCTTTCCTATTTTGATATCCAAGTACACTTGTGGGTTGCCGCCCTTCTTGCCCAGAGTCTCGGCTGCTCTGACTGCCGGGGCTATAGCATCAGGGTTCACACCCACTTCTTCAGCAGCCTCACCAGGGTCAGCTGCAAACAAAATATTTGTTAGAGCATCAGATCGATATGCATGTAACTGAACATCCTAGCATGAACTATAATAGATAAAATAGACATTATTACCGTAATAATTCATGTCATGACAATAACAATAAATAATATTTCATATTCCTATGGTTCTAATAATAGTATTGACACACCTTTGCATATCAATGCAAATTTGTACAGTCAAATTCCTGACACTTTTTAGCATCTATGAAGAATCTTGGCATCAGTTAAGACAGCAGCCACAACAATGAAATTGCATAAAGTGTAGTGAAAAAAGCAAATTTTGCATGAATAAATTTTTGGCATATGAATTTGATGCTAAGTTGGTAAGATTGTCAAAGCAATTGGGTTACAAAGCCAAGTTATCAAGGTTTCAGGGGCAGGGTGGCCAGCTTTAAAGTTCAGAGTAACAATAGTGGAGCAGAAAAGTGCAGGTTTGATCCTAGCTCTGTGTGCCAGTTTATGGTCAGAATAAGCAAGGAGGCCAGGCGGTTACTAAAAATAGAAGCAGTGAGTAGCTGTGAATGTTCTGCAATGTTAAGAATCGGCAGCAGGCCTATGGCCTAATGAATGCTGAAATTTATATATTATTATAATATATTATAAGATGAACTGACCAGTCTTTAGTGTAGAACCAGCATATTTTTCAAGCCATGAGTCATCAGACCACACAGCTCGGGAAGAGTTTGCACCAGCTTTCTGCGGTTTGGATACATTGACTCGGATTGTCCGTCCAAACAATTCACTCTCATTCTGTAATAGAAAAAAGATTATTTTCAAAAGTAACATAGTTACACTACAGGATAGAAAAATAAATTTTATTAATTACAAAAAAGTCAGGCATAACTCAACTAGCAGAATTAACACTAGTGAGGTTGATGAAAATTAAAAAAAAATAGCTTTTTCATTTATTAGGCAAGGAATCATTAAACCTCGGGTAATTATTTGAAAACAAAAGAAGTTATCAATATAATTTTAAAAATGCTTACCATGTTATCAATGGCATCAGCTGCATCTTCTGCTAGTTCATACTCTATAAATGCAAAGCCCCGGTGCTTGCCCGACTCATAGTCCAATGGTAATTGCACATCCACCAGGTCTCCGAACATCAGGAAGGCATTGCGTAGAACTTCTTCTGTGACTTCTTCTGATAAACCACCTGTAAATTGAATTTTATATTAAATATGAATACATGTATAAATGAAATAATGTTTTTCTCACAAAGTGTTGTATCAATCTTTTCATTTAAATATGAAAGTACAAAATTTTTGCAATCTTTCACAATCTCTCCAACTAAAGAATACATCTGATTATATTTTAATACCTACTGACCTCTGAGGCCAAGCAAAATGAAGAATATTCTAATATGTACAATAAAAACTTATCGAATTAAATGAGCATTAATTTTCTTTAGGAGTTTAATAGTTTTTATATTTAGCTGATACTTAGTAATTGATCAACTTGATGGATATGATTGATCTTGTAAATATGAGCTACCATTTCTAGAATTCCACCCTAACAGTCAAATGGTAGAGCACATTTTTTTAAATCAGATGGTTTATAGGGCAGTTTAGTCATAATGAATAACATTCAACAATTTATAAGGCAGGGTTTCACTGTATTTTATGAAACAAGAAAATATTTTTATAAAAAAGTGTCTCTTAATTAACTAAAATTATTTCAATTTCTTTTTACTAAGGTTAAATTAAAAAAAATTATATCTATGTCTGGGAATTTTTGAACTAGACAAAACATTCCTAGCTCAAAACTAGATTTATGGTTTGAAAAATTAAATCCTTACCAATTGTGACTCTAGATTTGCTTCAGTACACAGCAGATACTGCTGCAAACTTATCATTAGCCATATAAATTTGGACAAAAATATGATTATCTGGCATCCATTACAATGTAATAACTAAAAAACTTTTTTAGAGATTTGTAGAGGGATTTGTGGGACTGTTTTGTTCATTAAAAAATTGTTTACATTTATGATGGTAAGGTAAATGCTATAGCAACAACAGTAGCAATTGGCATTGATGTTTGCTATTTATCACATTTTAACATGAGTAATGTTTTGAAAGAACTGTACAAAATTTTACCGATAAGAGGAAAATTAATTTTAAGGATTACATAAGTCTTAAAGTGAGACGAGACATCACAATGAATTACTGGTGGTAACTTACCAACATAGATACTTTTTTTGTTCGAAGAGCTTCCCATATCAATTAACAATATGAATGCGATATAAAGACTCCCTAGCTGCAAGATAATATTTGATCAAGAATAATGAAGTATGAACACAGTTATACTGAATTTTTTCAAGTTACATCAACATCCAAGATTAATTTAAAAGCTCACAATCCTTATAAGCTTCCAATTTCATTATTTCATGCACACCAAACTAATTTTCCAGTGATCACAGACTCAGTAGTTATGTATGCATACTCAGAGAGAGTATGCTTCACCTGTTGATCACAGTGCAATGCAACAACACAAGAAAACAGCCAATTCTGGTCACAAAAATGACCAAACTACACAATTAAGAATTCAGTGGTAAACTTGTAATTTGAGCTTTATGACGCATTGTGTGCAATGTCATTACAAGATCCCACCTCTAACTCTTTAGCTGCATTTGAGCCCAAGTGAACAAGGTGGTATGTCCTCCATTTCCCGAATGTTGTGGATAATTTCTATTGTCATATTATGAATATTTTTTATTGCGATATTGCTAATATTTTCAACTTTGATATTGTAGATATTTTTTATTGTGATATGTGCTTATGTGGCAGTTATAATGACTTGAGGTATGCAGTATTATTGAAGTTCTAACATTGTTTTGTTGTTGTTAGTTGCCCAGGACTGCTTCTCTGAGGTGCCAGGGGAGGAGGATGGGAGCAATGAGAGAATGCCACAGTTGGTCCAGGGTTAGACCAGAGATCCAGTGGAGTTAGCAAAGTAGGGTGCAATGGGCAGCTGAAGAGGTGTTGGGTGGTGTGATCCATTAAGCTGCACTCAGGGCAGCCTGGCAGAGAGGGCTATTTGCAGCACCAAAGCAGACAAGGTACAAGTTGAGTCATGATGAATAGCCAGAGCGGGGCTGGGAAAGGGTGCTTCTGGCCACTCAGGGGAGGGATAGCTTGCTGGATGAGATAGATGGGGTGGGGGTCAGTGACACCTTACCCCTATGTGGGGTGATGCTTCTCCTTATTGTTGTTGTTCGCCCTCCCTGTCCCGCAACAAATGCGGGACGGGGCCTACATCCATTCCTGTGGCCAGCCCAACCTTTCTCCCCAGCGCGTTAACAGCCCTGTCGCCTCAATGGGAGAGCTACATAAAACCAGGGGCGACAAAGGCATGACCAGTTCCGAGCAGCCAAACAGGTGGTTCGTGTTGTGATCATGTCTGTGACAGAGTGGACAAAGAGGGGATGGATGTGTGGCTGGATCAATCTTGTGTAGGTATTGGTGTAGTAGGGGGGACTTGTTTGTATGAAGTTGTGCTAGTGCTCAGCATGTGTGCCTGGGTAATTGGGTTTCTGAAGAGTCTATGGCTGGTGCTGGTGCCAAAAGTACAACATTGTTTGGTAGATTGTCTATGTAGTTAGTTGTGATTGTAGTGTGTATTTGTTTCTTGTGTCTGTTTAGTGTTTCTGTTGTGGCTTGATCTGGTTCTATGAGTATGTTAGTGGTGTAGTTTCTGTTTGTGAAAACTGTTTCATAAGTCTGGGTGGGTTGTAAGGTTGAGTATGAGTGTGAAGTGGGTGGGTCGGTGCTTGAGCTTTTAGTCTGAGTTGGGATGCATTGAGTCTTCTCCCTGTTGTCTCTGACATCATTACCACTGGTGGGGTTAACTTTGATCATTGATCCTTGAAGCCTGATAAATACAAACAAAGGAGTAAAGTGCTTGAGTTGAAGTAATACCAGTTGCCCAAGCAACCTACAAAATTAAATCCCTGTCATTTTGTTTTGTCAATCATTGTTAGCATTTTGCAACCTACAGAAGTAAGTAAGATATTTTACTTAATGATTCTTTATTTTTTTATTTACTTTGTGGACAGCAATTTTTGTACATTGTATTGTATTGCTCTGCCAACTCTGAGGAAATGGCAACTGGCTCCATTGCTCCAACTTGTTACTTCAACAATTAATACTTTTAAAATTATACTTCATTATAAATATGAAATCTCAAAAAATAATTAAAATTTAAATTATTTAGGTATTTGAAGTTAACATCATATTTGATAAATGAAATTTAGGTATCTAATCCACAATCTGCACTACTTCAACAATCCAGCCAAAATATCCTGCACAATGTAACATTGTAACAACAACAAGTTAAACTAAAATGTTTCCTTATAGATTGCATAGTTGCAAACTTGCAGTGTTGCAGTCACGTCAGAGCGGTCACCGGTCAGACTACAATCACTACATTATCATGTGATCAGTTGCCACTCAAGTGAAGAATTGCAGTGGTAACTGGTAACAGCAAGTCAGCAAGTCTTCTTGTTCAAGTCTTGTCATATGTTTCAGTCAATACACAGTTTTTCAATTTGGTGTTGACTGCTTTTGGGGTAAAATTAGAGATAAGGGCTTTTAAGGGGTAACACGTGCATGGGATGATGGGACTTAATGGAATCTTGGCTGGCAAATCCATAAAACCATAGCATAAAAAATACAGTTGTGGCGGTGACTTGCCAAGTACCTATATGGATTTGGATTCCATGCCTGCTTCAGTCAAGTTCAGTGCCTAACTGAGCTAACTCAGGTCTCACCATCTCAGCCCTCAGGAAGACCAGACTGTATTTTCACCAAGCCTGATTATGATTAGTACTACTAACTACTAAGTACTACCTGCTAGCCTACTGCTAGTACCTGACCTGACCCAGAAGGCTAGAAAATTTGAACAAATGACTTGAATTTTAAATGCCAAATGACATTTAAAAAAGTATAGGCTAAGTGTAGTTTCCAAATTAAAAACATCTTAAAAACCACAAGACTTCCCGCAGCTAAATCTTATATTGTCAAGTGAATAACAAAATATAATTTACAGCACTGAAAAATACTACGAGCTTTTGTTTCAAATCAAACTATACCCTTTCATATGTTTCAGACAAGTTTCAGGGGTACGGCTAGCCGGGTAGCGAAGCCGTGCACCCCCAAATTTGTCCACCAATCAGGATCAGCCGTTCAGCCCTGAGCCTGAATCAGAATGGAACACATACGGGCTACGCCCGCCGCTACGGTAGTGAAGGTACTGACTAGTGACTCCAACATTAGCGTATTTCAGTAAGATCCCCAATCGGCCGCGAATTAAACTTCCTTCTTCTGTCGCCCCCACTTAGGCACTAACCATCCCAATGATCCAATCCCATCACATTATCTTGCTTTAAATATTAAGACTATGAGTAAGAGACTAAGAGCTCTATACCAGTAATATCACCATTATGGCACCATATTCGGAAGCGAATAACCCAGAGTGTAATGATCGTTTACCACTGAACGCTGCATAGAAACATCACTTCGAGTCTTCGTACTCTGACTATAGCGAACTGATTCTGAAACCTGCAAAAAACGGATTAGCACCAATCAGCCTAGCTCCTTGGGTGAACTGCAAGAAACCTGTCGTGCACTACTAGACCGCGGATCCAATTTGAGTTCCGCGGCATCGTAAAGTTACGTAACTCTTTGCTCACAACGTTAGGTTCAGATAGTGAAGTTGTTTCTTAAATCTATTGTCTTCCGACGAATGGCTGTTCAACCGTTACTTCTTCGGTGCACGGGCGCGACACGGACGGGTTGGTTGCTGGCATTATATTTGTTGAGAAGCTCCCGCGCGCTCTGACCGAGTAGTGCAGATTCTTTCCCATACTGGGAAAGAATTCTTTGGACGAAGCTGGGGCAAACTACGTCAGGCTACTTTTCTGTGGGTTGATTGATCTACTTCAAAGGATGTGATCTGTCTGGTAGTTTGCGGCTGATAATGTTACAGTCCATGAGCCGTACTATTAAAATAGTTATGAGTTTGTAACTCCGGCAGCCAATAACTGAAGGCTTTTCCAGCTCAACTTGCCAATCACTGACAAGAAATCGGCTGCTTATCGTACTTAGGCCGCTACGTGTTCTGAAGCAAGTTCCGAAGGTACGGCCACAGAAGTGTTATAGACTACATTCTTGAGGTATACGATCAGGATAGTCCATTCGAAAGACAGCAGTGGTGGTCTCCGACAGGCATCCCAAAAGATCCATTGAACATCGCGCTATGCGGGCCGTGGCTCCATCCTGTAGGAACCACACATTCATTTTAGCAAAAAAAAAAAATACTTCAATCGTTTGCGTGTACCGAGCTGCAGTCACCGTTACTGCACGTTCGTTTTCCTCAAAAATATATGGGCTGCAAAAATACAGGGATTTTAAAATTCGTGTTCTGGCTCAAGGCCGTTGGCCATAAATTTAACTGCGCACCCAAGCTGCATGACTAAAACATAACATAAACGAAAGAAAATTTGAAAAAAATTATACGAACTAAACAACACCGGTATGGCCTAATAAGTGAATATTCAGAATTTTACAGAACTTCGGTAATTCGTTTGGAATATATTTTAGGCTCACTGCAAATTTGACCATCGGCCTCATAAATACCGGTCGTTTCTTTGTATCTCTGTATAACTCAACCGGCGGCGAAATTGAAAAAAAATTCAGCGACTTAAAACAGCACGTAACAATTAGGTAGTTAGGAATGCTTATTCAAAGTTAATTTAAAATCTGTACAGTAGGATAGAACACACAGGCTGTTTTTAGAACATACAAGCCACCGATTAGGTTATGGAAAATTTAAAAGATTGGTAGATTTTTTTTATTGATATACTTTTAGTATTCATTGATCGGTAATTCCTTTAATTTAGTTAGGCTGCGTACGTAGCGTCTAGGCCTAGGGCTTTACTCGGAGTATTAGCGCATATAAGTTCTCGTATGAAATAGGTTACGGCAAAATTCGTAAAGAGAGAGGGTTGCAATGAAACACTGGCATATTTAATATTGAAATTGGGGAATTTCAGTTCACATCCTACGTTAACAAAAATCTCTAGTGCAGGAAAGGGAAAACCGAACACAATCAAAGTTGGGAATCTTTCAGTAAACATCACCAAAATCCCCCTATTTATCAAAAACGTTGATCAGTTGCAGTTCTGTTGAATAAATAGTACGACTGTCGTTAACGACTACTTCACTCGCCCGTTTGCGGTCGTATTTATAGCGGCCGTACCGCAGCCGTAGCCGCGCATCCCTGCTGCCTGTAGTCGTTCTTTCTCCATAGCCGTTGTGTGTAGCTGATATATAAATGTCTCACGGTCAGTCTGGCCGTAGATTATTTTATAACGAGCGCACTTCTGAATGGTGGTGAAGTCTTATTCGTCGATGATGTTAACTATACAAGCTCATTGCCCTGACGACAACTGTGACTGCATCGAGTCGATGACCGTACCTTTGATTATTGTTGCTCAGTGCACGAAAACTTCCGGCGTTATAGGCAATTTTCTGGTTGCCGGCATTATAATCTTTGGTCGTCTCTTGGCCTCTCGCGTTGTCTCGCGGCTAAGACGCAACCGTAGCAAGAATGTTTACCGTACAAATTAGCGAAGTTAAGGCCGTTACTCGTACATTTCTGACGTTATTATATCGGAGTTGTAGTGGCATGAATGTCTCGAAGGTCAGCGCGGCCGTCGGAAGGACAGCCGACGGGCCGGGCCGTCACCTACTTCTACGAAGAAGCTGCAAACCGTACTGGTGTGACGGTCACCACAATAGAACAACATTTTTGCGCGAATTTTAGGCTCCTTATTTAGGCAGCCGTCGCGCACAGTTAAGCCTATAGGTGCCTGTACACATGATACTGTACACAGGGATAGTACTAGCCGCTAGTTCATCCGCCGCTTGAACTGTCCACGTTACTAGCCTCGTGTATAGGTTCAGCCGCTTCAGAGGCATGCGCCGGCATATGTGCCCGAGACGCGGCCGAGAGCGACAACGATGTGTTGATTTCTTCGCTGCAGAAGTGGCTATGTAGCGCTGATTCCGCCACGGTGAGAGCATCTGTGCCGCTCTTGAGAGGTATCTTGGGCCAAGTGAATCATGGCTTGTTTGAACGATAATGGTTCTAAGAAGAAAGAACCCAACAAAGTGGACGATATTTACGGACGACTTGAAGTGTTGAAGGCTACGTTCC